ATTTTCCTTATAAATACATAGCATTACAGTAACATTAAAGCTATAATAGTTTTCTATGGATGAGCACTAGATAAAGCAGCACATTTAACATGATTTCGAACACATTTTTGCATAGAGAATGACAGCACCCTCTCCTCCCTCCTTCCCCTTAGAGATATTGATACACATTACTCAGCTTTACTAACAACTTGGGACAGGAACAAGAAGTTTGTATTTTAGGTATACAGCTATCCACAGGATGCCTCAGACTTAAAATACAAAGTGTTTCTTTGTGCTCTCGTGTAAAAAGCATTGGGAAGATCAGATGTTTGTCTAATAGTTTTGCAAGGTGACATGCAATGTACATAGAGTGTCACTCTTGGGTTTGTTCATTCATTTATCCATTCTTTCACAAGACTTTAAGTCTATAAGGGAGAGAATATGCCTGTTCTGCTTACACAATTCTTTGGTGATAGTATTCCAACTCAAATCAGTATAAGCAAAAAAGATTTATTTGCTCACATAACTTCCCAGTCTGGGGTTAAGGTGTTAATATGGTAGGACTGAGTGGCTCAAGAAAAGAAGGCATGGCCTCTTTTTTTTTTTTTTTTAAGATTTATTTATTTAAGAGAGAGAATGGGGGGGAGGGGCAGAGGGAGAGAGAGAGAATCCCAAGCAGACTCCCCACTGAGCATGGAGACTACTCGGGGCTCGATTTTACAACCCTGAGATCATGACCTGAGCCCAAATCCAGAGTCCAACGCTCAACCAACTGAGCTACCCAGGCACCCTGAAGCATGGCCTCTTCATGACTCAGCAATTCTTTCCTCTGTGTTGGCTTCTTTCTCTCAGGCAGGCTCCCCGTAAGTGACCATAAAGCTATTTCTCAGCAGAGATGGATTTTTATTATGGTCAGAGCTAGAATCTCAACAAAATGAGAATACTTCTTTCCCAATAAACCCAGCAAAGGTCCTGGGAAAATCCAGTTGGCTTTGTTTGGGTCACATGACTATTCTTGATCCAATCACCTTGGTCCAGAACAAAGTACACTTACTGGTCAGGCCTGAGATGTGTGTCCATCCCAAGAGCTAAGGGATGGACAGCCCCACTTAACCACCCGTGCCAGAGATGGGAGCAATGTGGTACTCCCATTCAATTTCACATCCCCAATTATGTCCAGTCATAGGACATAACTTAGGTTTAATTAAGTTAAGTTGACATACTTTAAGTCAAGTTCAAAGGAAGTCAAGTCCTCTTTGATTTCTTGGTCTGCTCATGCTGAGCTATAGAAGATTTTCCATCAGCACTTGTGACCTGAGATATCGTCTCAGTGGAATTGAAATAGTTATCCCAGGCCAAAGTGTTCCTGCTAGAATACAGTCTTGGTTGAGATGTGGTGATATTCAAAATAGGAAGGAAGAAGAATTGCTCAGCAGGATGCCAGCAGGTCTGTTCAATTGTCCAGAATCCACGATCTGTGAACCCAAATGCAATTAGGGTATATCTTCCCACAGAAAATTAATTTAGGTACCGTGTGTTTACTATATCTAGGAAGGAGAAAGCTCTTACATAAACTGTCTCATTTCTAACAGAATAAATTTGAGATGTTGCTGCCTCCTGGCAAAGTTATAAATTTGTAACAAGCACAACTCAAGCCCCAGCTCTTATCTGAGATTTCTTTCTTTCTCATCCAGTGGATCCCAGTAGATTTCCATTTCTCCTTTGAGCTCTGGGTTCTCAGCACTTAGGTGCTGCCCTAATAGTGAGTTCTACCTGATAACACAGCCTCCACAGGATTTAGGGGGCAGGTGGTCACTTTTTCAGCCCTGGGTGTGAGTGGCTGTCACCACTGCTCTTAGTAGGGACCTGCTTGTGCCCAAGACACTTGCCCCTAAAGAAAGATGTCACTCCTTCTCATCTTCATTTCAGCTGGAAGAGCTCCCTCTTCAGATTCACAGACTGAAGCTGCTTTTGATGCTTCTGAATGCTGTATCTCTAGGGTCCCAACGAAGACTAGTACTTCTGCCCCCTGTTCTTCATGACACCATCATTCCTGGTTGTCCTCTGCTTTGGATTTCTGTTAAGTTCTCAGACATGTTCCCTTGGGGCACTAGAAATATCTGCTTGTTTACCTTCTGTATTACCTTGAAACTCAGAAATATTTTAATATTTTTGCTTTTAAATACATATAGTCATTCAATTTTGAGATTCATTACCCCCTTCTTACCAGTACCCAGATTTTTAAAGTATTCACATCTCCTGCACACAGCCCTTGTGCTTTCAGGAACTTAGCCCTGCCCCTAACTCTAGGAATGGTATGGTTTGTCTTAAGCCAAGCTGCATAATCCATTTTCCCAGTAAAAACTACTGGTGAGTAATGACCTAAGCTACTCCAAGTGAGGATGAATCTTAGGACTTTCACTTGCAAAGCTGGAGAAAGGGCTCTTCCTCCCTCTACTGATGATGAAAGAGACAGCATGTGGCTGGTAGACATCCTACCACTATAGAAGAACTTGTACAGAAAAATAATTGTTGGCCTCCACCTTGGAGTACTCTATATTTATCCCAAAGAATAACTGGCCAAATGAATGGAGAAATTTATCTTTGAAAAATATATATATGTGGATATAGATATAGATACAGATATATAGTGCTCACTGGTGGAAAAGCCCCGTTCCTTCAAGGTAGATTTTATCTTTTCAAAGCTAGAAGTTACTTGGAACCAAGAGTAAACAGGTAGATGATCAGCTTGAATAACAGTATTTCTCGTTTTTTTTTTTTTTTTTAATTTTTTAAATTTATTTATTCATGAAAGTCAGAGAGAGAGAGAGAGGCAGAGGCAGAGGGAGAGAAGCAGGCTCCCCGCCTAGCAGGGAGCCCGATGCGGGACTCGATCCTAGGATGCTGGGATCATGACCTGAGCCGAAGGCAGACGCTTAACCATCTGAGCCACCCAGGCACCCCTCTTTTTTTTTTTTTTTAAGGAAAACTTCTTGTGAATGGTTTCCTTGCTGCTGAAACGCCCTGAATGCAGCAACTCTTCTTGAGCAAATATTACCACTTACATTCACTATTGTAAGGAGAAAAAGTCTTCACTTCTTAGTTGCACCTGGTCAACACTGCCTTTTCTCTGGCTTTTTAAGTCTATAGATTCTACCCATATCTCAAAATAGCCAATCCTTAAAAAAGAAAAGGGTTAGCACCTGAACATTCTTTCTTTTTTTTAATTTATTTTTTATTTTTTTTATTATTATTATTTTTGGACATTCTTTCTTAAGGGCTACAACCTCAAGCGAACTTTGTCAAAGTGCCAAGACAGCCATGAACGCTGTCATGTTGGCGCCTGCACATGACATCATAGAGTGCCGCTACTGTAAGGACGGTGTTTGGAAGAAGGAATACTCTGCTGAGTCTGGTCTCAACCAAACAGGGCAGGAGGCCTGACGGCTCCCTGCACAAAACTCCCACACAGCTTGGCTATGTTGAAGTTCTTGTTAACTGGTACTGCTTCCTTGTAATTCTCAAAACCCCCTTACGATCCATTCCCATGAAGGAGACAGATGTGATCACGTTTAACAAGAATCATTCTCCAAGAAACCTGTTCCTATACCAGTCTAAAGACATTAAATCGGTCCTATTTTTTTTTGTTTTTGTTTTTGTTTTTTTTTAGATTTTATTTATTTATTTGACAGAGAGAGAGACAGCCAGAGAGGGAACACAAGCAGGGGGAGTGGGAGAGGGAGAAGCAGGCTTCCCGCGGAGCAGGGAGCCCGATGTGGGGCTCGATCCCAGGACCCTGGGATCATGACCTGAGCCGAAGGCAGACGCTTAACGACTGAGCCACCCAGGCGCCCCTCGGTCCTATTTTTTTTATTAATATATAATGTATTATTTGTGTCAGGGGTACAGGTCTGTGACTCAACAGTCTTGCACAATTCACAGCGCTCACCATAGCACATACCCTCCCCAATGTCTATCACCCAGTCACCCCATCCCTCCCACCCCACCCCCCACTCCAGTAACCCTCAGTTTGTTTCCTGCGATTAAGAATTCCTCATATCAGTGAGATCATATGATACTTGTCTTTCCCTGACTGACTTATTTCACTCAGCGTAATACCCTCCAGTTCCATCCACGTTGTTGCAAATGGCAAGATTTCATTTTTTTTTTTTTAGATTTTATTTATTTATTTGAGAGAGCGAGAATGAGAGAGAGTACATGAGAGGGGGGAGGGTCAGAGGGAGAAGCAGGCTCCTCGCTGAGCAGGGAGCCCGATGCGGGACTCGATCCCGGGACTCCAGGATCATGACCTGAGCCGAAGGCAGTTGCTTAACCAACTGAGCCACCCAGGCGCCCAGCAAGATTTCATTTTTGATGGCTGCATAATACTCTGTTATATATATATATAAATTGGTCCTATTTTTAAAAATACCCCTGGTAAAGGAATTTTCCTCAGTACCTTAAACTCTGGGTTTTGTTTTTTTTTTAAATAGTCACATGGGGCGCCTGGGTGGCTCAGTCGTCAAGCATCTGCCTTCGGCTCAGGTCATGATCCCAGGGTCCTGGGATCGAGCCCTGCATTGGGCTCCCTGCTCTGCAGGAAGCCTGCTTCTCCCTCTCCTACTCCCCCCGCTTGTGTTCCCTCTCTCACTGTGTCTCTCTCTGTCAAATAAATAAAATCTTTAAAAAAATAAAATAAAATAGTCACATAATTATTTTAAGGCCATGGTAAGAAAGACATAGTACAGATCTTATCAATATCCTTCGGGGAAGCAGGACTCCTGAAGCTTACTTGAGACAGGACATGAGAAAGATTTGTTAATAACTGACAAGCTTTTCTACAAATATACTTTGATGTTTTGCAGAGGAACAAATAATTAAATGGAGATTTCCTTTGGGGCTTAGATTTCCTAATCCAAACTGGAAATTATCAAATGATCCTTTATAGCAACTTTCTTTAGAGATAAAACAGCCATCTTGTTTGTCTTTTGAGATAATTGTGAAGTTGAGGAAGATGTATGTTTCATTCTTTAAAAACAGCTTTATTGAGATATAATTGATATAGAGAAAAACTGAACTTATTCAATATACACAATTTCATGAGTTTGTAGAAACGCATACAAACATGAATTTTCAAGTGTCTAGTGGAGATTTGGTTTTTCACTTTGGGTAAACAATTTTAAGAGGCTTTGCCACCTTTTAAGATGATTCAATCATCTCAGTTCAAAATACAAAATAAAATGAATATTATGGGCCCAAACTAAGAGAAAAGTTAGTGAACAGGAGTCCCCCCTTTCAATTCCTTTCGATTAAGAAAAAGTGCCTATTGTATGGAAGTAAACAAGAGATATGATATGGATTTAACTGCACACAGTGCTGAGTATGTAACACAGGAAGCACTTTATCTCCAAACATGACTGTAAGACATTAAAACTGAAAGCCGTTTTATTTATCAATGATGTCAGGACTCAAAGTAGCCCAGTTAAAATCTACTTCCTCTTGAAAAAGAGAAGTACACTGAAGAGAGGTGCAGAGAGCTTTGGAGGGGCATCAGGATTCCTGACAGCGAGGATAATGCACTGGTCATGGGAAAGTGAGTCACGGGGAAATGAGGGAGGTGTGAAAAGGCCCAGGGAAGAGGGCCACCGCAGGAGTGGAAACGGGAGAAATCTGAGGAAACCGGGGGTGGAATGCATGTGTGCATGTGGAAGATGCATCTGTAGAGGCACGAGCAACAGGACCCAGATCTAAACCCAAGTACCTGATTGAGAAAAAACACAAGACTGGAAATCTAAAACCTAAGACTACAAGCCTAGCCATGTAACAACTACAGGTTCATTACCTTTACTTTATACGCCCACTGAGCTGAAGAGCAGTAACAACAAAGTATACTCCTTCCCCTCCTGGTTTAAACTCTGTAGGGGATCTGTGGGGACCGTGGGTTCAGCTGAGATTACAGTGGGAAGAGTTTCACGAAGCAGGGCTGACAATAGGTCTTGTTGTCCTGCTCCTTGAAGACGCCCTTTGACAGCTGTGTCAGGCAGAAAGCACAGACGAAGTGCTCGGGATGGAACTTGTGGCCAATGGCACTGATGCAGCGGCCAGTGATGGGCTGCCCACACCCGTGGCAGAGCGTGCCCCGCCGCTCATGGTAATGGAGCTCGCAGTAGGGACGTCCGTCCAGTTCAAAGAAGGAGCCGGAAGGAAAACTGCTGAAGCAGTCCTGCGGCATAGAGCAAAGGGGAAGAAAAAGGGGCAGATGTCAAGAAGCAGAACATCAGCCAAGTAAAACTTGCAGCTTTGAAACTCCTGCCCGTTACCGGACCAGTGGAGGCGAGAATATTACCCACTTGAGAAAGACATGAGCCAGTGCCCCCAGCCTCCTTTACCAGGCCTGCATCAATCCCTCACCCCAAGCTGTGGACCCTTTTCCCAGTTGCTGTTCTGCCCCTCAGAAAGGAAGGCTCTTGACTTTCCCTCAGTCCAAAAGAGAAGTGAGTGTACAGACCCCACACACAAAGCATTCCGGGTGCCAGACGGTGTCCATGGCTGAAAGGTAGTTTTCCAACACGGGGCGGTTGCAGCCGCCACACTTGGGTGAGAACATGGCTAGGAAATCCTTCCGGCAGTATGGCTTCTTGTCCTTCTCATGAAAGCCTGGAGAGGTAAAATCAACAGTTCATGGTGCAGGGTGACACCTTCCACCAAGCTGGAGGCTGAGAAGAGGCCAGTGATTTCAGCTCTCCCAAACTCAGTGTCCTCATATTCAATACCAACCTCAATAGCTCATTATAAGAAATACGTGAGAGAGAAATACATAAATACATAAATACAGGAGGGAATGCGGAACAGGTGCGTTAGTGCTAGGCCTGGCTCATACCCAGCATTTAGTATTAAGGTCTATTCCTGCTCGACATCTCTGTACTAAGTATCGTGCTGGCCTGCACAGTTTTGCCCCAGGCTTTGGTGTGGCTGATCTCACCTGATGATTCAGAAATTGGTTCAAATATCACCCTATCAGAGGCGCCTCTTATCTATCCCATATCTATCACTTCATCTTTTCTAAAATCATCTTTCCAGCATTTACCATTATCTGAAACCACCTTGGTGGTCTGTCATCCCACACTGGAGTGTAGCTCTGAAAATAGATACTGTTGGTCTTATCATGTTATAACTCTAGTACCCAAAACAGCACCAGCACAAAAGGGCTTAATCTTTAAAAAGAAAGTGCTATGAAATAATAATTTCCAAATGGATGCAAGATTCTAAATGTAACAGTTCAAGCCATACAAAGACGTGAATCAAAACTGAGTGGGTCCCTCTTTAACCTGGGAATGAGAAAACTGTAGTAAACATGGCTCAAATTTCAAAAGCAGGTTAAAAATCAGTAAATTAAAAAAATATTTTAAAAAATCAATAAATGTAGGTCCATTAAAATATACATATGAATGGGGGGAAGGAGCAAGATGGTGGAGGAGTAGGAGACCTAAATTTCGTCTGGTCCCAGGAATTCAGCTAGATAGGGATCAAACCATTCTGAACACCTACGAACTCAACAGGAGATCGAAGAAAAGAATAGCAGCAACTCTGAACAGAAAAGCGACCACTTTCTGGAAGGTAGGATGTGCGGAGAAGTGAATCCGAGGCGATATTCTGGAGGATAGATGGCGGGGGAGGGGGCCTCTGAGGCCGCTTCTGGTAAGTGATAGAGCCGCGGAGCACAAAATCGGAACTTTTAGAAGTTGGCTCCGCTGAGGGACGTCACTCCGGTGGCTAAGCGGGGGGTGGAACCCTTGTGGGACAGTGTGGTCTCAGGACCCTTGGGGTCAGAGAAAGACGGGGGGTGCCTGAGTGCGGCAGAGCTCCCAGGTATCAGAGCGGGGAAGCCGGCTGCAGAGATGGAGCAGAGGAGCGGGCTCTCAGCTCAGGGTTGCCATAAATCGTGGTCCGGGGCACAGTTGGGCCACTGCTCCTCCAGCAGGGACCCAACAAGTGGCAGATCCAGGGAGACTCCCCTTCCTCCCCCGGGAGGAGCAGCACGGGAGTGCACTGCAGGGATCTGCTGGGTTTGGAGACTCCACACGGGGTCAGGGGCCAGAGATAGAAACGCTCGGTCACAGGCCAGGTGAGCGCGGAGTGCGGCCAGAGACCAGGGAGATGGGAGTGACTGATGGCTTTTCTCTGGGGGCTCACTGAGGAGCGGGGCCCTGAGTTCTCGGCTCCTTGGAGGCAGAGATTGGGAGGCCGCCATTTTCACTCTCGTCCTCCAAAGCCAAACTGAAAGCTTGCAGGGAACAAAAGCTCCCGAGAGCAAACCCAAACAGATTACTTAGCCCAGACCGGGCAAGGGCAGGGCAATTCCGCCTCCGGCAAAGACATTTGGGAACCACGGCAACAGGCCCCTCCCCCAGAAGATCAGTGAGAACAGCCAGCCAAGACCAAGTTTACTGATCAATGAGAACGGCAGAACTCCAGCGGTAGGGGAATACTGCACATAGAATTCATGGCTTTTCCCCCATGATTCTTTAGTCTTTCAAAGTTAATTTTTTTCCCTTTTTCTATATATTTTTTTGAATTTTCTTTTTCCCTTTTTCAACCAACATCTTATTAATCCCTTTTTTAAAAATCTTTTTTATTTTTCATTTTTAGAGTCATATACTATCCCTTCATAGTAGTCAACCTTATTTTTGGTGTATATATATGTTGTTCTCTCTTTAAAATTTTGGGATAGTTTCTTCTAACAGACCAAAATATACCCTAAATCTCTAGTGTATGGCTCTGTTCTAGTCTGCCTGATCACATTCTCTCCCTTTTTTTTTAATTTCTCTTCCTTCTTTTTTCAACCAACTTCTTATCTTACCAATTCCTTTTATAAAATCTTTTATAATTTTTATCTTTACAGTCATATTCCATCCCTTCATCGTATCTACCCTTATTTTTGTACATATATAAGTTTTTATTTCTTTAAAATTTTGGGTGGCAGTTTCTTCTAACAGACGAAAATACACCCAAAATCTAGTGTGTGGCACTGACCTATTCACCAGCCTGATCATATTTGACCATATTCTTTTCTTTTTTTATCACTTTCTTTTTCTTTCTTTTCTTTTTTCTTTCTTTCCCTTTCTTTTCCCCTGGTTTCAGGTCTCTTCTGATTTGTTTAGTGTATATTTTTCTGGGGTTGTTGTTACCCTGTTAGCATTTTGTTCTCTCACTCATCTATTCTCTGGACAAAATGACAAGATGGAAAAAATCACCTCAAAAAAAAGAACAAGAGGGAGTACCGACTGCCAGGGACCTAATCAATATGGACATTAGGAAGATGTCGGAACTAGAGTTCAGAATGATGATTATAAAGATACTAGCTGGGCTTGAAAAAAAGCATGGAAGATACTAGATAAACCCTTTCTGGAGAAATGAAAGAACTAAAATCTAACCAAGTCGAAATCAAAAAGGCTATTAATGAGGTGCAATCAAAAATGGAGGCTCTAATTGCTAGGATAAATGAGGCAGAAGAAATAATTAGTGATACAGAAGACCAAATGATGGAGAATAAAGAAGCTGAGAAAAAGAGAGATAAACAACTACTAGATCATGAAGGCAGAATTCGAGAAACTTAAGTGATACCATAAGACAAAACAATATTAGAATTATTGGGATCCCAGAAGAAGAAGAAAGAGAGAGAGGGGCAGAAGGTATATTGGAGCAAATTATAGCAGAGAACTTCCCTAATTAGGGGAAGGAAACAGGCATCAAAATCCAGGAGGCACAGAGAATCCCCCCTCAAAATCAATAAAAATAGGTCAACACCCTGACATCTAACAGTAAAACTTTTGAGTCTCAGAGACAAAGAGAAAATCCTGAAAGCAGCTCGGGACAAGACGTCTGTAACCTACAATGGTAGAAACATTAGATTGGCAACAGACCTATCCACAGAGACCTGGCAGGCCAGAAAGGACTGGCATGATAGCTTCAGAGCACTAAATGAGAAAAATCTGCAGCCAAGAATACTATATCCAGCTAGGCTGTCATTGAAAATAGAAGGAGAGATAAAAAGCTTCCAGGACAAACAAAAACTAAAGGAAATTGCAAACACGAAACCAGCCCTACAAGAAATATTGAAAGGGGTCCTCTAAGCAAAGAGAGAACCTAGAAGTAACATAGACCAGAAAGGAACACAGATAATATAAAGTAACAGTCACCTTACAGGCAATACAATGGCACTAAATTCGTATCTTTCCATAGTTACCCTGAATGTAAATGGGCTAACTGCCCCAATCAAAAGACACAGTCTATCAGACTGGATAAAAAAAACAAGACCCATCGATATGCTGTCTGCAAGAGACTCATTTTAGACCCAAAGACACCTCCAGATTGAAAGCGAGGGGGTGGAAAACAATTTACCATGCTAATGGACATCAAAAGAAAGCTGGGGTGGCAATCCTTATATCAGAGAAATTAGAATTTAAATCAAAGACTATAATAAGAGATGAGGAAGGACACTATATCCTACTTAAAGGATCTATCCAACAAGAAGATCTAACAATTGCAAATATCTATGCCCCTAACATGGGAGCAGCCACTTATATAAGCCAATTAATAACAAAAGCAAAGAAACACATCGACAATACAATAATAGTAGGGGACTTTAACATCCCCCTCATTGAAATGAACAGATCATCTAAGAAAAGATCAACAAAGAAATAAAGACTTTAAATGACACACTGGACCAAATGGACTTCACAGATATATTTAGAACATTCCATCCCAAAGCAACAGAATACACATTCTTCTCTAGTGCCCATGGAGCACTCTCCATAAGAGATCACATCCTAGGTCACAAATCAGGTCTCAACTGGTACCAAAAGATTGGGATCATTCCCTGCATATTTTCAGACCACAATGCTTTGAAACTAGAACTCAGTCACAAGAGGAAAGTTGGAAAGAACTCAAATACATGGAGACTAAAGAGCATCCTACTAAAGAATGAATGGGTCAACCAGGAAATTAAAGAAGAATTAAAACAATTCATGGAAACAAATGAAAATGAAAACACAACTGTTCAAAATCTTTGGGATGCAGCAAAGGCAGTCCTAAGAGGAAAGTACATAGCAATACAAGCCTTTCTCAAGAAACAAGAAAGATCTCAAATACACAACCTAACCCTACACCTAAAGGAGCTGAAGAAAGAACAGCAAATAAAGCCCAAACCCAGCAGGAGAAGAGAAATAATAACGATCAGAGCAGAAATCAATGAAATAGAAACCAAAAGAACAGTAGAACAGATCAACGAAACTAGGAGCTGGTTCTTGGAAAGGATTAATAAGATTGATAAACCCCTGGCCAGACTTATCAAAAATAAAAGAGAAATGACCCAAATAAATAAAATCATGAATGAAAGAGGAGAGATCACAACCAACACCAAAGAAATACAAACAATTACAAGAACATATTATGAGCAACTATATGCCAGCAAATTAGACAATCTGGAAGAAATGGATGCATTCCTAGAGATGTATAAACTACCAAAACTGAACCAGGAAGAAACAGAAAACCTGAACAGACCTATAACCATTAAGGAAATTGAAGCAGTGATCAAAAATCTCCCAACAAACAAGAGTCCAGGTTTCCGAGGGGAATTCTATCAAACATTTCAAGAA